ACATTCCATCAACTAGATGCCCACATATTTAAGATTTAACTTAGAAATAGTAGCTTAATGCATCTAAGCCATTCTGATTATTTGCGGAAGTAAACATTTCAAAAAAGCATGAGTCTTATAATAAAATGAATTAGGAGATGGAAAGGATGCTAAGTAGACTTTTTTTCCCCATGATAGTCTAACATAGCTCTCCTCCTACAAGGCTGGAAGTACTGCACTCATTTATGCAACATATTACATATGTTTGCTGATATTATAAGTGCTGAAGAATGTGGGGAAATAGGTAGGAAATACTCCAAATGTACAACCCTCTGAAAAATGCACTTAAACTAGACAACTACCCAACCATGCTATAGACATTTTCAATTCCACCATGTTGTTTTACTGCCATTTTTTGTACCAGATACTAAGAACTGCCGTGGCAAATACATGAAAATGACACCAGATTTGGGAAAGCTTCTTAAAGGAGAAAATTGTTTACTAACCCGCAGTGGTAATGTTTAAATAAACATTAAACATTTTAACACTGAACACTAGAAACATTGTTTATCTACTTAAAAAGCAACATTATAATATTGAGGGGTACCTATTAACCAGTTCTATTTTTCTTAATAAACAATATTAAATATAGACATGGCGATATCAGTAATTTCAAAATTGTTCATATGTAATTTCTAATAATTCCAAGTGTGGCTAGACATGTTAGTTACTGTAACAAAAACAAGGAGTTATGTGGTGTCTTAAAGACTAACACTTTTATTAGAAAAGAAGCTTTTGTGGATTGCAACCACTTCATCACATATTATATATGTGAAATATTATTAAGAACAGAAAGCATACCACAGTTGGGGGAAAGATGAACAAAAGAAAAATGTAGTCAGAACATTTAACATAGAGCAGCAGCATTAGCAGAGGAATAAACAGCAGAATTCTTATCCTAGAATAAAGGATAAAGACTTTCCTGAAATAGAATGTACAGTAAAAAAATATTTTGTCAAGTATATCTCAAGTTGTTCAAAGTATTTTCACACACAACTGGTTTCCCCATTACATCCCTTTCCAGAAACACAGGGAACATGCATAATTTATATGTGATCTTGAAATGCTGAAATATGAATAAAGTAAAAGAAGACTTCACAGCAAATTGTCTCACAAGGGTTCTAGAGAGCAGCAGCGTGAGTCCATTCCCAATTATAAGGGCACATTTCCTGTGGTAGTCAAGCCTACTATTGCCCGTTATTTCCTAATCATTAGCTTTTGCTGGGGTCTTTGAACAGACATGGGAAATATTTACAGCAGCTGTTTGGTTTGATTTTCCAGTGTCTCACTTTTATTTCAGTGCTTTACAGGAGGAAAGTCATTGGTTATATCCTTTCTTCAGCTGTCTTTTACACATTATCATTGTCAAACTGGTTTTTCCAAACAACGTGTATTTAGAAACTGAATTCCAGATTATACAAGGCTAATAAGCCAAAATAAAGATTTCCCACAGTAAGCAGGTAGGTAAGTAGATAGATGATATATAGATGATTAAATAGATAGACAGACAGACAGACAAGATACTTTGTGAAATATATATATAATTTATCACGTCTGTAACACTATTTTTGTAAAATACCACCAGTCACCAGTCATGTGGGTTTTTCATATACTTACTCTCATGAAGATACCATAAGTGAAATCCTATCTCTTAAATTAACAACCAGAAGTAAAACCCACAAAGTTTACCACTTAACAGATATTAACACTATTTATTAATGGATGTTAGTTAAAAATGTAAATAAACCACAAGAATTATAAAGCAATAAACTTTAACACCATCAATAATCTAAATCTTTTGCAAATACAACATTTTGTTTGAGATGTATGATAAAGCATTGGTGAATTGGCACTCTTTTTTACAATTTTTTTCCTGTAAGTTTTTATTTTATTGCAACACATAATATAAGAACCTAAAATAACATGCAGACAATCCTTCTGCTAAATCCAAATTATCATTAATTCAAATACCCTAAACATGTTCCAAGTATAATTAATTTATTTTGAGGCTTCACATTTTTTTGTTCTATTGCTTCTCAAAGAACAATTAGGGCATCCAATTCATTAGAAAATACATCCATAGTGTTGCTGCTCCTTATTCTACAATAAGAAAATGAATGCTGGTGGGCAAGTCTGTACATGCCATTCAGCTGAGAACCATTTGACCTCAGACTGATAAAGAGGATTTAGTCTCCCTATTCTAACACTATCTTACTTTCTAGAAAAAATGTTTTAATTTGTACACCACAGCAGCTAACCATTCATATAAATTAAACTTCAAAACAAAGCTGTCATAAAGGGCTAAAAAGTATGGTTTTTACCTAAACTGAACTTGTATAGAAAAGAATTAACAGTAAAAGTAAAGAAACTATGAGTTTCTTTCTACTTTAGCTCAAGCAATCTTGAAAAAAAACAAACCAATCCATTATTTACACTTCAGAGTAGCCACCCTTCTTAATTTTGTTAAAACACGAAAGGCTATATTCAGTGTTATATGAATGGTTTTCTAATAGCACAACTGGAATTCTTGCAAACTCCCAAATCTTTCTTTGAGAGTCACTCCATTAGATATAGCAATTATTAGGTGGCGGGGGGGTGGGGGAGATAAATTTTTCCCCTTGTTCTCATCAGCCTTCACTGGGAAGGCTTGGTAACTGGGGAAGGCTGGAGTTGTAGTTCCACCTCTGGAAGAACATATGCTTCTTGTCTTTATACCCTGGTGTTTTGTAGAGAATGTATGGAATAAATAAGTGGCTCCCATCCATGGCAACTTTGAGCATGAGGATTTCAACTACTAGAATTATTGCAATGGCTATACTGGCTAGGAAATTCTGGGAGTTGGATGCCATACACCCTAAAGTTGCTCAAGTTGGAAAAAAAACATTCACTCCATAAAAATCATTTGTAAAGTCATACCGACACACTGTATTAATCTATAAAATGATTTGGTTGTCTTTTGTTTGAAGCTACATAAGCCCAGCCAACTATGGGGTCACAAAGCATGTCAAGCCAAAGGCAAATAATAAATCAGGATTTAGCAAGCTACAGTTTAGCACAAAATGTCAGCTTAAATTCTGTTTGGTCTGAATATCTCATACGACCTGCTAAGGTTTAGTATGCAGCTTTGTTGCCAAACTCTTTAGAAAAATATCCATAAAAAAGAAAGAAAATTAAATCTTAACTATGCCTGCACAGTATAATCTTACTTGCTTTACATCTTAGACTACAGCAATCTACAAGGAAGAAATGAAAACTGAAAAGTTTCATCGAGTAACTGCTCCATAATGTCCCATCTTTAGCATCACTATGGCTAACACAAGGCACACAATTTTGAGTACAGGTACAAACTAGGTAAAAACTAGGTAAAAACCGAATCAATTGCTGCTCCTTCAAAAAAAGGCATTAAAATTTTAATTGCAAATTTGTGCATATAAGAGAGGACCAAACCATTTTGATCCCTTGTAATATTACCAAACTGAAGTCACCTATAAGAAGAATAACACGAGTTAACAGTACATAACTGTCTTCTTTTAAGGTAGAAATAGTTATGCAGTTTGTTCATATTAGGTTTTTAGGTACTAGTAGTATTTAGGTACTACTTCCATTTCATGTAAAACTTTGCAACTCAAACCAAAGTATTTCAATCAACCTTCTGCCAATTCTAAAAGTGTACAAATTAGCTTGCAATATTATAAGATTAAAATATGTCTATTACATGATTTGAATTAATTGACAGTGAGATATACATTCATACAACTGAACTCCATTCTGGGGAATGGGAGGCAGAAAAAGACACACCCAAGATGATGTAACCTTTACAAGAAATAACAATGCAGAAAAATGAGACTCAAAACCAGGTATCAAAAGGTCACCTATAAATCAGTTTCAATCTTAGACTCATAGTGATTCATTCAATCCCTACATAGGCCTAGTTCTCTTTATCTAAAGCAAGGCCAGAGCAATTCAGCTCACTGCAATGTTTTTACAGTTGCAAACAATATACCAATCCATACAGCAATAACAATCAGATATGAGGATGATCTATAAGTACATGTCAGAAACTACAGGTACACAATCACGCATCTTTTCTATTGTATACCCAGAGATGAAAATTGATGACTGATGAACAACAGTTGTTAAGATCCTCAACACAGCACAAGAAATACATTTTGTTACTTCCTCAAATTAATGTTAGTCTTTTATATAAACAAACCCTGGCTGATGTTTCACTCCCATAACAATGCACATTAGAAAACTTAGTCATATAGGTGACTAAACATTACACAGCCCATGATATTGCAGTATTTGTTTCCTCTAAAGGGGATATATCTTGAAGACTTTCACAGCAACTTATCTTACCCATGTCTGTGTTTATTTGTGTGTGTGTGTGTGTGTTGTGCCCCCCACATTTCATCTACTTGTCAAACAGGTTGTTCCAGAAATTTTGATTTTCTGCTTTCCAGCCTGAGAATAACCTTTCCTATTCTTTTCCCTCACTTTCACCCCACCCTTTTCATCCACACCCTCTTATAGAGGTAACACAGAAGACAACATTACGCCAGTTTCCACACACCTTGACAAATTCATAACAAAGAGAAACATCTGTTCTTTTTTGAAAGCAAGGCTACTTGATCAGTTTTGATAAGGACATGAACACCCCTAGTTTCTTCACTCCACTATCAAGCCCAGTGCACAGACTACATGGTAAAATAAAAGATAAAAAAGAGTTTTGGTTTGTAACATGGGGCAGCAAGAGTTGGTGTCTTATGAACTTATGAACACAAATGGGTCCCTTGAAAACAAGGACAGGTGCTGATAATCCCTGTCACAAAGCCATAGGAAATGTATTTCTATTAACTTTTGTTCACAAAGCAGGGATGGCCCAACATCATGGCTACTGGAAAAGAGGAAAATGTACATATATATATTTTTAAGAGGGGAAAAAAAACCTTAACACAAACCTTATAAACTTGCCCATATGTGCCATTTCCAACCACTTCCACCAGCTCAAAAATCCCAGCAGGATCCTACACAATAAAGGTGAGGAAAAGATGGTTGGGAGAAAGGGAGAAGGGAGGAGAGAGAAGACATGATTGTTATCTTTAAGCAATTATTACTGGATTCCCCCAAACACACACACTGGAGTGGATCGGTTAGCAGTGCAGTTGTTTCACTCTGTTTTTTTCTACGCACATGCCAATACATGCAAACAAAGGAAAGGAACCCAAGACTGGACTCATCCTCCCCTCGCTTCTGCCCAGGGCACAAAATGGGAAGCCAACCAGCTAACTAGTAAAGGGCCTTTTTTTTTTTTTTTAGGGTGTAACAACCCATCCCCTATGACAGAGGTTTCTTCTCCCAGCCACCCAGCCACCAACCCCCCGCAACGTACAATCCCCAAGTCTTCCTCTCACCCTCCCTTCCTTTCCCCCTCCGCCCCAACCCAGCTCCGAACAACAAAAGCCACGCCAGGGAAGACGTCGCCCGCTTTGTGTGGATAGCGGGAGGGAGACGAGACGGCCAAGGATCGTCTGCAAGCAGCCCTCTTCTCCTTTGCTTTCCCTGCCACCCTCACCGCCCGCCCCAAGTCACACTCACCCGCAAAGAGGAAAGGTCTATATCTCCCAGACTTTTTGCAGGAGAGTCATTCGCCATTTTTCCTTTTTTTGTTATTTTTCTTTAACTATATAAATAAAGAGCCAAGTACTTAGCACGCCACGGCGAAAATATAAAGCGTCACCCCTCCCTTGGTCTCTCTTTCTTTCCGAGTCTGCCTCTCAGAAAGATCTTTTCTTTTCTTCTCTTTCCCTCTCTCTCTCTCTTTCTCTCTCCGCCCTTCCGTTCCTTGCTTTCTTCAGTCCGGGGTAAAACTCTTCTTCAATGAAGAGATGGAGATGAAGGAGGGCGGTGGAGGCTGCTGCTGCTGCTGCTGCTGCTGCTGCTTGGCTTTACGGTGAAAAGAGGAGACCGAGCAACGTAGGGCTAAACCGTGACTTCTTCGCCGCTTTAAAAATAGTTCCTTTTCGATCTCAGTTCGTGCGAAGGTCGCTGTGAAGCGGCTTCACACACCATCGGGAAGAAAGAGCGGGCGCTCCCAAGAGGCGTCTCTTCCCAAGCAGCTACATAAGACACATAAGAACCCAGAGCCGGCGGTGAGAGAAGGGCAGGCGCCGGCGGCGGCTCTCTTGCGCGCGCGCGCAGAGCAACTCGCACCCACCCGCCCACCGGAGCACGCGAACAATAAAACGCCACCCGGACACAGTCGCTCCCTGCCTCCCTCGCCCCCCTTCGGTTCTCTGTCTGCTCCTGCTGCGCCCTGAGCGCAGAGACGCTGGTTTTCTCCACGGGAGCTTCCCCCAGCGCTGGGAAAGGGAAACAAAGCGAGCGCTGGGGGGAAAGGGGTGCGAAAGGGATACAAAATAAACTCTCAAGTCAGAGGAAGCCAACAGCTCGCTTGCTTGCTTGCTTGCTTGCTTTCTCCGACAGGAAAACCCAGCGGAAACACACGCGCACCAAAGCACTTCTGGGTAAATGGAGGTGAGGGGGGGTGTGGAAGAAGAAGGGGAGGGGGTGTCGTCTCTTGTTTTCAGGCAGAGGCTGCCTAGGGAAATGTCTCTTGGAGCGAATCTATCGATAGGCAATCAGGGTGTGGCGTAGAACAATGGATAGAAGTTGTCTCGGAGAGCTTTCCAGCTAGGCCTCGCTCTCCAGAAAATAAGGTATCTCTAGGTAACTTCCTGAACGATGCAAGCTCTGGGCAAGTGCTCCATTTAGGTGAGGAGAAGATGTACGAGTTAGGAACAATGATCGTAAGGACCCGCAAGTCAGTATCGTTCTTTCAAGTTGGCGTGAAAATCCTCCACAACCTATTTGAAACAGTGATTTTATGTCATCCCATCACTTAGGACCCAGCCAGAAGTTGTTGTTTTTTCCCATTTGTTTTATATTGTGCCTTTCATTCAGGAATTAAAACTCCCCTCCTATTTTTCACCACAATAACAATCCTGTGAATTGAGATAAGGCTTACCTTACTCTCTGCATAAGACTGGACTTGAATTCCCTGGTGCCGGTCCAGCACATTAACTCCTAAAACACATAGGCACTCATTAAGAAAATCAGTAATGGCTGTGATTAATTGAGAAGACTTGGAAGGCTCTGTGGTAGTTAAGAGTTGCTTGATCCTATTCATCTCAAACCTGCTTGCCAGAGGCCATTGATCATAGGCCTAGTATCAATAGTAATTTTTGATTATACAGTAGGATGACTATTCACTCTCTGTGGTATGATCTCTTTATTCAGCAGCAATTATCTGACATCACCAGGAAGGTGTAGGAGAGCCGCCTCTAGAAAACCCCAGATCTAATTAATGTAGACGGTACTTTCCAATAACAGAAACTAAGGTGACTCCTGCAGCCTTATAGGCATATTCTCCAACACATCCTTGGGACATACAGTTGGCAAAAGCATCTAAAGAGACCAAGGGCCTAACTGAAGAAAGGTAACTTCCTGCTATAGGTACCTACTTTTCAATGAAACCTAGGATTTCCTTATATATATATATATATATATATTATCCTTGTACAGTAATAAATTCTCTGAACTTAAACCATCTGAGTCATACTATGACAAATATCAGAAAGTGCCTTGGACCACTTTGGACTATTCATCCATTCATTTATCAAATCTAGACACTGACTTTGGGTCAGTGGTGGGATTCAAATATTTTTTACTACCGATTCTGTGGGCGTGGCTTGGTGGGCGTGGCAGGGAAAGGATACTGTAAAATCTCCATTCCCACCGCACTCCGGGGGAAGGTTACTGCAAAATCCCATTCCTTCCCCATCCCACTAGCCTGCTTTCCAGCTCTGGTCTCCTGTGCAGTGCAACAAAAGAAGACCCAGCCAATCAGCTGGGACTCAGAAGACAGAGAATAGATGGGGGCGCGGCCAGTCAGAGGTGGTACTTGCCAGTTCTCCGAACTACTCAAAATATCTGCTACCAGTTCTCCAGAACTGGTCAGAACCTGCTGAATACTACCTCTGCTTTGGGTGGTGTATAAATAAATATTAAAGCATCAAAACTGAATATAGAAAAATAAATATGGGTCATTGTTCTTCTGGTTTAGTATTAGTCCAGTTATAATTGTTCTCTGGAACTTCAGGCAGAATGTTTTCATTTGCCTTTTTAATTGAGATTCAAGGAAAAGAAATTACTCCTAGATTAGTTATTTAGATGCCATCAAATGGGGGGAAGGGTTGGCTTCTCCTGACTGTAGGGAAATATTTTGCCATTTTCACTTGACTTCAATAATAACTGACAACTTACATTCCAGTAACATCTTTGATCCTATCACAGTGGTGGCTAATCTTTTGGGGGTCATGTGCCAAAAATTGTGCGTGCGCTTGTGTACGCTCATATGCCAGCACCCAGAAGGCAATGCACGTGCCCCCCCCACACCCCCTGCGCATGTGCGTGCAATTCTCCCCCACCGTCCCCTTACCTACACTGCGCCTCACAGCTGATTTTTCGGCTGGTTTGAGGCCTTTTTCGGCCTCCCAGAGACTTGAAAAAAGCCTCCGCAGGCTTTTCAGGCTGAATAATAGGCCTGTTTCTTCACTTCTGGTATTACAGGAAGTGATGAAAAAATCCTATTATTCATTCTGAAAAGCCTGTAGAGGTTTTTTTCAAGCCTCTGGAAGGCCGAAAAACACCTCAAACCAGCTGAAAAATCAGCTGTGAGGCGCATGCATGCATAGTGAGGTAAGTTTGCCTGCGGCTCGCGTGCCAGCACAAATGGCTCTGCATGCCACCTGTGGCATGCATGCCATAGGTTTGCCATCACGGTCCTATCATATCCATCTATTTATCCATTGTCTTTCCTTTTTATTTCCCTCAGTTTCCCATATAATAATTATTTTTAGTCCACCACCCATTTGCTTCACATGCCCAAAGTATGTGAGTTTCTGTTAAGCTGATCATTGCCCCAAGGGAACAATAAGTCTGTATTTGTTCCAGGCCTGAATTTATTACTTCTTGCATCATCTGTGGTATTCTTCATAACCGTCTCCAAATTCCTTATTCAGAAGTATCTGTCTTCCTTTCCTTGCTGTTTCTTTCACAATTATACAAGTAGTCCTCAACTTACAACATTTCATTTAATTACTGTTTGAAGTTACAATGGCACTGAAAAAATGACTTATGACCGTTTTTCACACTTATGACCATTGCAGCATCCCCACGATCATGTGATTTACATTTGGATACTTGACAACCAACTCACATTTATGA